GAAAAGAAAATAAAAGCGTAGATAGATTTTTCAGATAACAAATGAAAAATTCAGAAATTACGAATAAAATCTGTTTTGCCTCGGAATATTTCTTACGAGTTTGGCAGAGCTCGAGGCTCTTCCGTAACAATCGTCATCTTCCTAGATCGTCTAACGGTTAAGATTCCACCCTCTCACGGTGGCGATCGGGGTTCGATTCCCCGTCTGGGAGTGTTTTCATTTTTCTCTAATGCCGTGTGTAGGAATTTCGTTTGTGAGGGGAAATTGTGAAAGGAGCTGCGACGCTGTCGTGGGTGGCATTGCGTGTGTTTATGGCGTGTTCATGCGGTGGTGCTTCTCTGCATGTTGGTTTTGGTGCGCGTCGGGTGCGTGGTGAGAGTGAGCTTAAGACGGAGCGCAGTGCTGGGTGCCGCGCCCTGAACAAAGCACCGTCATTTCAATCGTTGAAGAAAAATGGCCGCCGCCGCCGCACTGGCCTCAGCCGTGAACTCCACCGTGTCGCTCGCCTACGACGTTTACAGCAAGGTGCCCGGCGCCGCCGTCGTGTACAAGTATGTCCGGTATGTTGCCGCGCCGCATGCGGCCTTGTCGTGTATCCTGCCTCCCGCTCACCACTCTCGTCTCGTTTGCTGCGCTTTGTCGCATCCGCAGCGAGTCGCATCAGAACGACCCCTTCCGCACGCTCGTTGAGCTCGTGTTTATCGTTGTCATGGCCTGGTACTTCTTCAATAACAAGCCCAAGTCCAAAGATGAGGTGAAACTGACTGAGAAGGTATGTGTTAATTCCGCCCTTCGATGAAGAAGCTGAATCTCAAAAACTTCTGGCTCCCCTTCCCGGGTAAAACTGCACTTCGAAGGAGATTCAGGAGCTTTGTGACGAATGGGAGCCGGAGGACCTGGTACCGCCATTAACCGAACGTCAGAACTCAGAACTGGAAAATATGGCTGTCATCGCCGGGTATGTTCGCTGCTAGTAGTACAATTCGCTTGTTTGGTTTTGCTTACCGTCAAGGATATGCAGTGCCTCTGGCCTCAAAGTCAAATTGGCTGACGGAAAGGAGAGACTCAATTTCGCATCCAACAACTTCATTGGCGTGATGAACTCGGATCAGATCAAGGAAAAAGCTGTCGGTGCTTTGAAAAAGTATGGCGTTGGCTCTTGTGGCCCGCCAGGATTCTACGGGACTCTTGGTCTGTTTATTCAGTTTGTTTTCGAAACATTAAATCTCCTTGCTACAAAACCAGATGTCCACATGGAACTTGAACAAAGCATTGCGCGATTCCTTGGTGTAGAATCATCCATTATTTATTCGCAAGGGTTTTCAACTATCAGTTCCGTGATTCCCGCGTTCTCAAAAAAGAGTGACATTTTGATTGTGTAAGCTAACTGATGCTTTCGAAAGATGGTAGTTTCAGACTTTTTCATGTTTGCAGGGACGATGGCTGTGGTATGGCTATTCTGAAAGGCGTTGAGCTGTCTCGCAGTATTGTCAAATTCTATAAGCACAACGACATGAAGGATCTGGAAAATGTCTTGAAGAAAGTCCATGAAAGCTTCAGAAAAAAGCCTTTGACAAGGCGTTTTATTATCACTGAGGGCGTTTTTGCTTCGTATGGTGACATGTGTGACCTGCCGGCGATAATGGCCCTCAAAATGCAATACAAGTACCGATTGATTCTTGAAGATTCTTTGGGCTTTGGTGCTGTTGGTCAGACTGGTCGTGGTACGCCGGAGTACTATGGGATTGCGGTAAGCCGTTGTCGATGTTTTAAGTGTGGATTAACTGTGTTTTCGTCAGCCTGCTGATGTTGATGTTTATGTGGCGTCAATGGCGAACGCACTCGCATCTTCTGGCGGATTTTGTGCTGGTCGAAAAGAAATTGTCGAGCATCAGGCAAGCTCATATTTTTATCCCATTCAAATGACACTTGACGATTTTGGCAAATATGCAGCGCCTTTCCGGTCTCGCTTACACATTTTCCGCTTCGCTTCCTGCAATATTGGCTGTGTCGGCACTTGAGGCACTGAAAATCCTCGAAAGCAAGCCGTCGCTCGCTGTGCAGTGTCAGCAAAACGCAATAGCCATGCGTGACGTGCTTCAGAAGGCCGGCGTTCCGCAAATTCGCGTGCTCGACGGCTTCCCAGAAGCCCCCGTTATTCACGTGCGTCTCGCGCCGCGCCTCGTTTCCACGCGCGACGAGGAGGAGCTTGTGCTGCAGGAGGTTGTTGACCAGTGCATCCGCGAAGGGATTGTGGTGACCCGCGCAAAGTACGTTGAAAGCCAGGAGCTCAATCTGCCGCCGCCCAGCATCAAAATTATGGCAAGCGGCGGTCACTCCAAACGCGACAGCGAGAAAGCTTGCGCTGTTGTGAAAGATGCATTCAAACTGGTCCTGAAGGCTCATAGGCTGGATGCCAAGTCCCAACGTTGAGGGTTTCTGGGCTCTATTGTTTCCAATCTTTTCTGCAAAAGCTGTTGATTTTTTTCCTACCGATGAAATTCAACAAATAGTTGGTTTTTGAAAATATTTTTTTGCCGGCACAGCGGAAAGCGATTCGGAGTTTACTCCACGAGCCAAATGGAACAACCAACCAAGACTGCACGATCATTCCAATGGACAGTCAAACACGCCGTGAACATGCGTTTTAGCAACCACCTTATAATCACTTTTTTTTTCAAAAACTACAACTAAAACAAACAAAAACAAATGTAACTTCAAATTCACTGCGGAAGGTGACCCTCGTTCACAACCTGATAACCAACATCTCCGGCGCGCAACTTTGCTTGGTCAGCAGCGCCGATGCCCGTGAGAATAAAGAGCAATATTCCGGCAAATACAGCGCCGGACACGACGGAAAACAGGTGGTAGTACGCGTTCCCGGCGTCGTAACATCCGGCGGCGTTGGCCACGAACGCTGCATCGGCGCACGCGTTGGCAGTGCGATACGCCGCTTCAAACATCGGCACTCCCGTATAGATCGTGGACCCGTTGGTTGGCGTGTATCCGCAGCAAGTGTACTGGTTGCGATGTGAATCGAAAAACAACCAAAAAAATAAAGTAACAACAAAAATTAAAAATAAATGAGAAGAGTCACGTATTATATACGAGTGTGGGCACACGCACCAGCATTTGATACGTGTCCTTTTCGGCATTTGTAAACGCCAACCAGTCTTCGATCACGACCGAGTCCCACGCGTAGGCGTTGTTGCGCAGCTTGACGATGAAGAATATTCCGCCTCCAAGAGCTGCGACGAACAGCACGACCATTGCAAAGATGTAAAAGTTGAGGGCGCGGTTGTGCCGCGCGCATGCGCCCAGCGACCCCGCGAGCGTCACGATGAACAGGAACGACGCGATAACGAAGAGCTAAGTGTTGAGCAGAAAGGGGCGGCCCGCGCGACGCCCATTTGGTTACGCAGTTCAGCATCGCAAAAAAGATTGCCACTCAAAAGCAAAAAGGGCAGCAGATACCGCAGTCGCCACATTGTCCGAAAGCGATACGATGTTTGCCGAGTATTGCTGGTGAAGCGAAGCCGTGCCGGAGAAGAAATGAAAGGTTCGAATCGCGCGCCAGATT